CACACACACACACACACACACACACACACACACACACACACACAATCTCTTACACACAATCTCTCACACACTCTTTCTTCCACACATACACTACACAAGATAATGCTGACACTCACAGACCCACAGTCACACGCATATGTTATTAGAGTGCAGTCCAAAATTCGTGGCGCAACTTATTGCCAAATATTTCCTAAACTACCGAACATAAACTCTCCAGCTTTTGCACAATGACTTGTATCAATTTGTCTTTACAACAAAAACAAAACTTCAAGTGTGTGATTCCTAACAACAGCTGTGACAACATCGCGTTCAATAGCACACCCGCCATGTCTGTCTACTAGCGACACTGTCGTTATTGATCGCATGTTTGGAGAACGTTTGGTGCAAAAGAAATGTGTTCACTCCACAGTTAATTTCTTGTAACAAGTTTTGCCCCTAAAAGGTGCCATTGGTGAGCTGTGACGTAGGTCATCTGTGTACGCAACATGTGAGTGAGATGCGGGAAGTGCTGTGAACAATTCCATTTTCCTATAACGGAGATTTATCATATTATTTTATATACATTTTTAGAAGAAAAGTTGTCTAATCAAGCCTCAATTGTTTTGGATAATATGATTAAGTTCAAACAAATTGCTACAGACTGCTGAGTAAGGAATGGGTGACATTGATTCACCTGTTAAAGAAATATTGGAGGAGAAGTTACAGCACGCCTTTTTTTCAAAAGACGATTCAAATCTCTCTCTCTCTCTCTCTCTCTCTCTCTCTCTCTCTCTCTCTCTCTCTCTCTCTCCTACCCTCCCCCTCCCCCCAATATTGTGAGAAAACAAGCGGTCATCCTATGATCTATCAAGTGAATGAAACCAAAGACGACCTGGGCTGTGAGAGACAGTGGTCAAAGGATGATGGAATGAGGGGATGGGGTGGGTGGGGTAGGGGGGGGGTCCTAATTAAGCTGCATGGAGGAGCTAATAAGAGCAAGTGTTGGAACGTGTGGCCAGACGACAGAGCGAGAGAAAGGGTAACAAGCACGGTGAGAAGGGCAGCGGGCAGAGAGCGACGTAAGGGACGTAATCAGACGGAACAGAATGTCAGCAGACTGAGGGCAGACGACAGAACAGATTGGCTGATTAATTAGGGTTGTTACACATATTATTTACTCAGTGGGTGGCTGGCAGGTGCTCTGCTGTGGTTTGCTTCTTCTTTCTTATCAAACATCAACCGTCCTTATCTCTCCTCCTTTCCTATCAAACATCAACCGTCCTTATCTCTCCTTCTTCTCTTTGTCTGCTACTCTCTAGCAACACCTCTAATCTTCGACACTTCTAATTGTGTTTGAAGGACCGTAAAACTCTAAAGTAAACTATGAGCAAACTCTCTGCTCTAACTTCTCTCTTCCTTTTCTTTGTATGTTTTTGTCTTGCAACACCTTTGATCTTCGCAAATTCGAATTCTAATAAACGTGAAAAAATGATATCAATAGGGGAACATTTCACCAGATCTTTTCATAAAAACTCTGAGGTTGTCAAGTAGTAACAAATGGTTTTGTTTTCTTCATTCTCTCTCTCTCTCTCTCTCTCTCTCTCTCTCTCTCTCT